AACACGTAAATATCTTCTTGATTCTGATTGATGATTTTGTTTTTTAGATCAAGTACCACAATCAAGAACATAGATAGATGATCCTTTGAATCATACACCAGACCTGGAAAACATGATAAAGGGCTTGCAACGATTTCTCTTTTATTTTTCAAACTATTATGTTTTTCTTCTTCATCAAGAACACTTATATCTTTATTGATTTTTCCGGTTAAGAATTGTTCTCTCATCTGAGAAACATTATAAGGACCAAACATACATGAATTTATCAGAAAGTACCATAGATAGGGAAAATATGACACTCTTTCTTCTCTAATTCTGAAATATTTTTCCTATCTAGACGATTTCTTCTTGTTCTCCTTCTGATTTCCGAGTTTATGAATAGTGAATGAACTTCTGAATCTTCAACAGATCCTAGAACGAATGTTCTAGCATGCTAGGATACCAATTGAAAGTCCCAAACCCTTTTTAGATTCATAGATCAGATATAAACAAGAATGAACAATATAAGAACAAGAGGTATCACAAAGTTTTCTTTCACTAAGAAAGGGGTTGTTATCACCAAGAGAACGGGTTGTCACAAAGACGGGCACAAAGACCTTCTATGCATCCAACAACAATAGGGTTTACCCTAATGTTGTTTATATACTAAGTTATACAAGTGAATCCATTTAATCAAGTGATTGTGTAATCTATATATAAACTAATCCAATATAAAAGGGATGGATCATATCAGATATTCTTTAGATTCGGATATCAGCACTAACACTTCAAAAGCTGATCAAAGCATCAACTTTAACGTCTGGAGATCAGCTTCAGCTTTAGTCATCAGCGTTAGGGTAAAGTTGATCGACTTCAGCTTCAACATATAGTAAATGACCATCAGTGAGTATCGTTAGCGTATCATCTGATCAGTGTGTCATCAATGTATACCCATCAATATCTGGACAGACTGATCGGTCTGTAGTAAATGGTGTTTTCATGCCTTTGGTGCTGATAGAGTCTTCAGGGTCTTTCAGTCATCAGGGGATGTTCTTCAGTCTTCAACATATGAATTTCCATCAACATATCTTCAGATTAACTAACTAACTATAACTATATAGTATATATTTTGCATCATCAAATATATACAACCGACTGGCCCAACAATTTTCTTCCCATCCCTATAAGTACCATCACTACAAGAAGATTGAGCAACAGCGGCGACATGCGTCGCCGCTAAAGGTTAGGCATGTCGCCGCTAATACCTTTAGCGGCGACGTGTCGCTGCAAATACGTCGCCGGTATAGATTCGTCACTAATACGCTCATTGGCGCCGCAAATACTTGGTGTCGCCGCTAATACTCATGTCGCGGTTAATGCTGCTCGTCGCCGCTAATATGTTGTCGCCGCTAATAAGACGCCGTCGCCACTATTCCCGTCGCTGCTAATGCTCTTTTGATTTTTTTTTTTGTTTATTTATTTCACATTAAATTTATAATCAATCCAAATCCAAATATTAATCTGATAATTTTATATAGAAATATTAATACATAAAATCAATCCAAAATATTAATACATAAAATCAATCCAAAATATTAATCCATATATATACCACATTTAGTATTGTTTCGAATTACAAAACGTTTCATTAAATCCTAAAATAACTAGTCGTCCTCATCATCATCTTCATTATTTTGTGGCGGCAATGAGCGAAACCACTCTTCCAATGCTGCAGAACAAGCCGGGTCCTGTAGTATTGTTTGCAGCATTTGCAACTATAAAAAAAACAAAATATATTAACAAAATATAATAACATTATAATTAATTATACCAATCCATTATAGCATTTACTAACAATTACCTGTGATTGTGGTTGTTCTTGTGTCATTGGTTGTTGCTGATCGTACATAGACACAACGGTAGGGGGTTTACGCCCAATGCCTCTGATATGTCCGCGTCGAACACCCAATATTCTTTCAAAACAATCTTTTATATCAGTTGGTGCTAGACCGCTTGCCTCAGAAGTAGCTTGGGTTCGTTGGTTTATCTCTTCGAGTAAAGCATTCTGTATTTTTTAAAAACAATAAAAATCATAAAAATTAGATTACTAAATACCTTTGACAATATAAACACTTATATGAAAAATACAAATTAACCACTTACGTATTGTTGCTCGACTGCAGGACTATAAAATACCCCTTGGCGATTGGAATTAGCTTTACGAAAAGCTTCGATTCGACTGATATCCTATTTAACATTAAAATTTAGATTAGTTATACTTTAAATAAATATTTAAATATATCATAACTTACCTCTTTAAAACATGCATTGCTATATGAGCTCGACCCCCCTCTATTTACAACTACTTGTTTTGCACGACATTCCTTGTTTGACGCCGAACGCCTTAAAAATTCTGGCGTTTGAAAATGTTCGACTGCCTTCGCCCAATTTTCATGTGACATTCCGTTAGGGGGGTTGTTTAATGCAGCTTGGATATCTCAGGCCCCCCGATTTCCTTAAAATAAGCATGAGCTTTACTTTTTCGACCTCTGTAAACTTTTGCAAGACTTGAATCAATGCTCCGCAACAATTGAGCACGCTCCGGATCCATGTTAACCTTATCCAAATCAAATTTATTCTGCAAAACACAAAAAGTTTAGTTAATTAAATAACAATCACAACTAAAATTAAAATTGTATCCAAGTTACCTTTAGATGAACAACTGCTGCGTTCCTTAAAGCGGGGGAAACATTGTCCCAACCAGATACGTTGAAAGGGACATTGTTCCACAAATACCTCCCAATTTCATGGGTGAACCAATTACCACGCTTCCCGACAGGGGAATATGTGATCTCCCTGTCGAAATCCAAATCTATGGGCTTTCCCTTATTTGCCCTTATCAACTTTCCCAACTCAATATTTTTTGACATGCCTCTCCTTTTTTTAGGAAGCTCGGCTGCAAAAATACAATTAAACCTATTAGTCATGATAACTTATTATAAAATAATAAAAATAGTTAATAAATATATCAGAATAAAACTCACCATCTTGTTCGTGCTGACCACGACCAAAGCCTCCTGGAGGTGGTGGATCCCCGGCTCCATCACCTCCGTGTCCAAGCCCCATAACATCGGCCATCATGGCCAAGAGTATTGCCCAAGTAAACCTCATCTGCAATATGAATAAAAGTTAGTTACCCTGCGAAATTGTAAGATATACAATATAGACAAACAACATAAATAAGACTTAAACAAACAATATGAATTAAAATTACATTTCAAATAAAGTTTCTATTACCAAAAAAAATTGATTTTTTAATCAGAATCAATTCAATGTCTTCTTCATCCGTATCATAATCAGAATCGCCATCATCATAATCAGTCTCTTCATCGGAAACATTATCGATTCTACCCGTTGGCGGAGGTACTTCAGTCTCGTCTTCATCATCATAATCAGCATTGTTTTGAGCTACATCAACATTGTTTTGAAAGTATTGTGAGAAGTCAATAAAAAGTCTAGCTCCAGATGAAGAGTTGTTTTGAACTATGTCAACATTTTCGGCCTCCACATTGTCGACATCTTGGACAGAGTCACTGTAAGCATTTTGGACACGAGGATTGTCGGATGGTAGATCCCAAATATTTCGATGATTAACATGCTCGACGATACAACGAGGGTTGTTGTTTTGGTTTCTTCGATGATTAACAGGCTGGCGGATGTAGAACACTTGTTTGGCTTGCGAAGCATATATGAGTTGATCATCTTGGTACGCTTCTTTTTCTGTGTCGATACTTATGAAATTATCATCAGGAATATCTCCTGTATCAAACCACTTGCACCGAAATATTACAGTCGAATAATCATATGGATATTGCAACTCCATAATCTCTTCTAACTGGCCATAATATTTCTCTCCATTCTCACCAACCGCTAGAACCCCAGAGTTTTGCGTTTTGCGTTGTGCATCACGACTAAGTACCATAAACCTAACACCATTGACTATGCACGCAGTGTAAGTATAAACATCCATTTGTGAACCCATTGAAAGGGCTGACAACTCTTTGTGGAATTCAGGAGAGTTTTCTTTTTCCAGCTGATAAACCTATTAAACATATGTTGATGTGTTATGTATTCTTGATTCATTAAATTTATGAAAGATATTTGTTTGTTAATTATGATTACCTTTTCAAGAAACCAGCTGGAAATTCGGTCTTTTCGTCACTTTCAGGATGTTCAGATTTGAATTTTCTATATTGATGAAATATAATTATATATAATATATATATATATATATATATATATATATATATATATTAAATTAATGAATGGAAAAAAGTAACAATAAATAATGAAAGATAATTAAAAGTAAGAACACTTACTCGATGTATTGTCTGACTTCTTGACAACTATTCAATATAAACCATTCAATATTACGTTTCTCTATTATATCAAGATGTTTGATTTGCGTTGCACTCGTCGGTCGACACTTGGACTCAAACATCCAAAACTTTGTTTTTTCAATGACAACGTCTTCGTTTCTTTCAAGGCGATTGACATCTCGAAGGTACATCGCACAAAATGTCAAAGCTTCTTCAGCAACATAACCTTCAGCTATACAACCTTCCGGCCTCGCCTTATTTCTGACATAGTTTTTTAGTTTTTTCATATACCTTTCAAACGGATACATCCATCTCATACATACCGGGCCTCCAGCAATCGCTTCATCTGGTAAATGCAAAACTAAATGAATCATAATGTCGAAAAACGCTGGCGGATAAATCAACTCTAACTTGCACAAGATTCTAATAACGTTCTTCTTTTGCTTTCCTCATATCCTCCACCTTTAGTGTTCTGGAGCAAATTTGCTTGAAAAACATACAAAGATCTACAA